CTCTGTGCTTACTTCACAAGCGTAACAAGCTTTTGGATACAGGTCAGCCCTGGCTCTGCTCACAGCGATTTATTTTCTCATCTCTGGTGATATGAAAGTGACAACACATATAGCTATAGGAGATGTCTCATCAGGAAGATTAACATCAAGCCCAGCTTTGTTTCAGGTCTTCAGAAACAGGGCAGTAGTAGACACCACCATTATGAAATTAAGTGGGTTTTGTGCTCACGTGTGACAGAGCTCAGTGCTGGTGACCCCGTACCTTCCTCTCCTCCTCCTACTGCTGGATTGTCTTCTCCAGCAGCAGTTATCAGCAGGTTGATACTGATAAGACTGAGTCATGGGTGCTGGCCACAGCGTTGGATGGGTCTGCTCTGGGCTGGAATAGACAACAGCCATTGAACGGCCAGCCTGCCACATGAGCGCTGGTGGGAGTCACAGGAAGAGCAGTGAAAAGCTCTGGACTTGTATATACACCCAATGTAAGAGAAATCTCAAAAAATTAACCGGAAATCTTTTAATAAGTGACAGATGGAAGAGGTTGGGGTGGGAGGCTGCACCCTTACCAAATGTAGGGTACAGCCCTGGCACGCTCCTTTCCCACACCCCCACAACAGGGCAAGCTTTCAGCTGAGGGGCTGCTGCAGGGCTCCAACTGAAACTGATGTCTCTCCATGCGGGATCCCCCTCATTCCCATACCTATCGAGTCAAGCTTTCCCAGCTCCTTCTCCTCCCAGAGACTCCCGAGAACCAACTGAGCCCCCGCAGGCACCCAGCTCTCCTGCCTCCATATGCAAGATCCTCCACCTACAGCTCCCAGGAGGGGAGAGGTGTGGGTTTATACTCTCACTGTTTGCTGCCTTAAGAGCTGGAGAGACCTGCTCACACTCAGAGAAAGACAGATCAGCCCCAGTTTCTAGCTGGTTTGTGCTCAGAAGTACCTTGTAATCACGAGACATTTAGCCAGAATTTAAGTTTTCCATAGAAATAGAAAATTCTCAGGTCCCTTCATTTGGCAGAAAGAGTATTCCTTACTCAAAATAGGCATAAATATGATGTCTGTTTATTAAATCAAACAATAACACCACAGTAGTTTTGGGCTGCATAAATAGAAGAGCAGAAGAACAGTTGGAGATATTAGCGTTCCCCAGGTCGGTTTTGCCTCAAATAAGATTTGAGTTCTTTGCATCTAATCAGCAGAAAAGTATTTATCAGTTAGGTGGTGCTGAAAGAACATTAAAAAAGACTATTTGGGGGCTGAAGGTCTATAATTATTAGGAAGGATTAAGAGTTTTATTATATATCTTGACTAATGATGACTCTGGAAAGGAACTAAGCTGCAAGTGTTATGCAAATAACTAGGAGGGGTCAGGCTTACTTAAAGTTAATGATTAGCATCAGTAACATGATGAAAGCAAAAAAAAAAAAAACCAACCAAAAAAACCCCAAACACCAGAGCTTTAGTGTTAGCTGTATTTCCTAATTTTATTTGGCTGTGCCTCAGCCTTAACAGGGAGGAGACGGAAGCTCTACAGCGTAGGACATTTAAATATAGATTTCCCTTTAGAAATTAATAAAAGGACTGGGAAAATAGTCTAGCAGAAAGATGAACTGCTACAGGATTTGAAGAAACAAGCCTTTCTCATCTTTGTTCACTTCTTTACAAAAGCAGAAGCTAGTTTGTTAGCTTGTGAATAACTGGAATCTTAGGGTAGAAGTTTTTACCATGACGTGCATAGATGAGATGTTTTTACACTGTAGCTATAATATTTTTCTGTATATAAATCACAGTAGCAATTCCTGTTTGGCCTTGAGAGCTCATAACATAGAATGCCCCAAAAATATGCTTTTGTTGACAAAACAAAGGAGTAGTGGACTGCAAGCAAGAGAGCACCATCAGTAGTAGTATGTTCTTGCTCACATAACATGCAAACTTCCATGGCAGCACGACTGGTGAAGGAAAGCTACGTGCATACCCACCACAAGCACAGGACAGCCCAGAATCAAAGGTTTGCCGGGAGAGCTGGTTGGGAATTAACACTGGGAATCACAGCTCTGTTTTGGTTTTAGGAGTGCAGGAAAAGTGATTGCTATACTGCCAAACTATTAAATAAAAGCCCACTAGTACAAACTTGGCTTCAGCCACTTGGTCAGGAGAGGCACAATCCTATGTATTTCCAACTTTTAATGCCTGCGGGTTGCTAGCAGTGGAAGCACACCTGCCTAGGGGCCGGCAAAGCCCACTGGCAGGGACGCCAGCCTCGCCTGCTCGCTGGGATCTTTTACTGGGGAGTTGCAGTAAGTGTTTCCTGAGTGTTGACAGGGACACCAACTGCTACGTCTCTTCTATTAGCATTCTCCGAGTGCCTGCACTTGGCTGACACTATAAACTAAGTTAGTTTGTCTTGAATACATCCTGGCATTGTAGATCAGACAGAAGCATGCCTGAAAAGAGGTGTACTGAAAAGGTAAGGGTACCTGTAACATTCCTCCTTTATTTACCTGGCCCCTCAGCAAAGTCAACACATGCACTCGGCTTCACCAATAATCAGTGGTATCAAAGTCCATGCCTCTAGGGACACAGGTACAGTGGCATAGCCGCGGTGAAACATGATTCACAAAGGCTGAGCTCCTACTTGTAGGTTCCACTTTTTTTTTTGGCACTTACTAAGGATCCAGATGAATGCTTCCCTTTTTCTAGGTCGGCTGTTGTGTACTTAATGAATACCAACTGGCTGTCAGGAATAAGAAAGAGTTAACCTCCATGGGATCACCTTTCCTGCACACATACACACCCATCTCTTACAGTGATAATTCAAAGCAAAGTCGCTAGGAGCAGCCGTTCAGTCACCCACAAATATTGCTCCTAAACTTACAGCCTCATCACTATAAAGACAACCAACACTCCCAGTAACCACATTGCAAACAATCCTTGTCATCTCTGATGGCTTACTGATATGTTTAAACACACAGTCAACAGTTTAATCCTGCAGTGGTCCAGACTGAGTCATCTTGAGTCATGTTACAGTGCAGTGCAGCAGGTCTGCATTGCAACATTTTGATAATACACAGATGCTGCCAGCCAGGTACTTCCCAGACGCAAACCAGTACACAGCTCTAAACAAAATCCTTCCCTGCCAAATGACATCCCACTCTTCTTTTTCCCCTTCCACTTCTTCCCTCTCATGTGGCATTTGCAAATGTGCATTAAGAAGCAATGCAGTTTAGGAGACATTCCTATTTGCAAATCTTTGTTTGTCTGTTCCTGCCCCTTTTCCCCCATTTAAAATAAGTGACTCGCCTGCTTTTTCTCTTCCTCTTCTCAGTACACATGCTGCAGCTCAATTAAGAAACTGTCTAATGGAGCTTTCTATTAATGGGGATCCACTCGGAAGTTTTCCTTTCATCGGGAGAGGCACAGGATGGTTAGTGCATAGTAGTTATTGTATGCAAAACACAAGTTATGCATCTCAATTAATTAACTTTTATTTTCGTGCAGCAGTGCTGTAAATGCCTGCTAGGTATTTTTTCCTTTGTAAATGCCCTCACCTATTTCGAGCCTAATTGCATTAGCATAGAAAAAAGGAAACAAAATAAATCAAACCTGAACTCATATGTTACATCCCATCTCTAGATGTAAATAGTATTTGAGTGGCATTGATGTCATGAAAATTAGGGAAGAGGGAAAGTCAAGTTGGTCTAAATAAGCCAAGGATTTAAATAAATTTTAGGTTAAATAAGCCACGGCTTATTTAAATAAGCGAAGTCAAGGATGCTATTCCTCCTTGACAGCTTGTTAACCACAAAAAACAGCAGAAAGTTGCTTTTTCCCCACAACGCTCTGAGCTGACACAAAGCACACACCCATCAGTACTCAGGGACATGAGAAGCAGTGTCACTACAGGAGAAAGCAAATTTCAGCAGCTGTACTGTATTAGCACTTCTTCCCTGTGCAAAGCAAATTTCAGCAACTCTGCACTAGCTTTTCTTCTCTGTCTAATGGGGGAGACGGATATTCTTGTCACACTAGCCAGGTTTCTTCCACCTACACTAAGACCTGCAGTCATCACCTGGCTGAGAAACAAAGCCACTGCTCTTGCAATATATTCAAGATTTAGCTTACGCACAAGTGTTGCAATGGAAAGCTTCTGGAAGTCAGTCCACCATGCTCAGGCGGCAAGGGATCTGCGTGGGGCAGCAGTCCCAGCTCTCCCGGCTGAAACACGCCCTTCCAGCTTCCCAGTCCCCAAAGTACCCTCATCCAGGATCTTAAGGCGGGTCTGCTTATTTGTCCAGAAATATGTTGTTTGACAGAAAAGCAGATGTAATCAGGCCCATGTGTTCTAGCAAATAACAAAAAAGTCCCCCAAAAACCCGGAAACTGGGAGTGTACGGTAAGACTATTACACTGGTTATGCCAGATATAAAAGCAGCTCAGCAAGTTAAAACAGAGGCACAATTATCCCCTGATTTAGGCCCCAGTGCAATAGAGAGGTATATTCAGGAAGTGACTTTTTTTTCCCTGTGCAAACCCACATCAGGACATTTTAAGCTGCAGGTCAGGAGGCATCTGAATATCCAAGTTCTCTTGGCCAGGCAGGGTTAAATTAAGGTGGTCTCTCCCTACAGAGGGCTGGGGGAAGGCAGTTGTGCTATCATGCAGGTATAGGCTCTGCATAGGACATCCCGTGTGAAGGTTTCCACACTGACCATCTGACCAGTGAGGCCACTGGCACGGGGAGGGGTACCTGGCCAGCATCGGGCAAGGCTGCCGGGACCACAGCCTGCAGACCACCGAGAGAAAACAAACAGGAGAGCTGAAGGGACTTGGGGCCAGTTGGCTCTTTGGTTGTAGAATAACTTTTTTTAAACAAAACCCAAACCACCACCACTCTGGCTTCTTGGTGTTGTACCAATAGGAAAGACTGCTCTGAAGCAACCTGCACCTGTATTTCTTTGCTGGTTTAAGCCCCGAAACAGGATTAGTACTGGTTCTGCAAGGGAAACCCCATCCCAGAAGGCAGCTGCTCCACCACAGAGGTGGGGAGACCGTTCATGGCGTCACCACCCACTGCTTTCCAGCCACTGCCCCTGGGTGCAGCTGGCGGCAGGGGCCACGGTCCCACGGAGGGGAGGGCAGGGGGCTCCCCGCTTACCGTAGTCCATGAGGGATTCGCAGCTCCAGTTGAGGTCCTCCTCGCTCCGCGTGCAGCTGTCCCACAGCGACGCTTGATGCACGTAGGGCTCCGACTCCGACTCCAGCCAGCCCCTGCCCGCCAGGGCGATGATGCCCATGATGATGGCCAGGCCCAGCAGCAGGGGCAGGAGCCACCTGCACCTCCAGCAGGCGAGGCCGCACACCACCATCCTGCCCGGCCGGCGGAGGCTCCCAGCGAGCCCGAGCGTCGCGGGTGGGGTGTGGCGGGGACGCTCCGCCGGGACGAGAGACTGCGTGCGTGTCGGTCCGAGCGGGTTTTTAAGGCGCCCCGGGAAGAGGGAGTCCCACCCACATTCCTCTGCCTAAGCCTGGCCGCTCCTCGCTCTGCCCCGGGTCCCTCCCTGCCCCGCGAACCTCCCGTCCCTTCGCTTGTCCTCCCCGGGCTCAGCCGTGCGCTTAACCCCTTGCTGGCTGCCACCCTCCCGCGCCCGGACCTGCTTCTCCCTCGTGGCCCCGCCAGCGCAAAACGCAACCGCAGCAAACACCTTAGGTTCTCGCTCGGTTTCACAAGCCCTGCCCTCCTCCCGGGTGTTGAAGTTCATCTTTCTCTTCTCTGGTCACTAGATAGACAGACCGGCGTTACCCAGCGTTGATAATACCAACGATGTTGGCCACTTCAGGTACCGAAAGCTTGTAATAAGTTGCTTCGCAGTTGAAATGGTCAACCTCTTGCCCAGTTTTTGGACAATTTTAATGCAAATGAGAAGAAGAAAGAAAGGTATTATTTGAGGATGGGAATGTGACATAATATTAACAAGGAAGCCATCACTTGTCTGGCATCAAGCTCAGCATTAAACAAACGCATGTTTCCTAACGGCCATCTAACAAGTGCTTGATCGCAATTGTGCTCTGGCTTTCAACCAGGCTGTGCCGGACACAGTCCAGGGGTGGTACTCAAGACCCACATACCCCGATCTTTCCCCATCCCATGTCTGGAAATGCACCCCTGAGATGACCAAAATGAAGGCTTCCCCATCACATGGCATGAATGAACACCCAAAATTTTGGTCATGGGAGAAACACTTCTCCACAATAAGATCTACACACATCCCATCACGTCATCCCAGTACCAATGCAAATTCTCATCATATGAGCAGACACGTACCTATCACAGGACTAGGGGCGCATGCGTTTTGGGCACATAACTCACACGCGTTTGGTCAAGTCTTGGAGCAGCTTCAAGGCCTCACCAAAGAGGTCAGTAGGAGGACAAATCTTTGAGGTCTGAAGGGCTGAAAAAGAATAGCGGGTAGGGGAGATTACATGGGTTTCATGGAGGATGGGGGTGTATGAGTTCTTATTGGACTGCATCAAATGGGATTTTGTCACAGCCGTGACAAAACATGCTCAGACTGTCCTCAATGTCAGTTCCTCAAAAGTTACTCAGGGGAGGTGTCTTGCAAGGAGGGATGGTGAACCTCATTTGAGTACCAATTGCTGGCAAATGCCAGGGAATGGATTGTGATGCTAAAACCAGAACAATAAAGTGATATCACCATAGGCAAGTTGCAAATACCCAGGCAGGTTACCTCAAACCACGTAGAATTTCACCAGCCCTCTCAACATCCTCCTCAAACTTCCCACCAGAAAAATCTAGAAAGATGCTATATGTATCTAGAAAGTATGCACCTGTCTGTACTTGTTAATACAATGTGAGTGAAAAATAGGACTGTGAGAAGTACTAATTCTGTCAATAATAATTAAAATATACAATTTCTGTTAAAAAGTAGCTTTAAAATATTATTTGCATAATTGCTGCATAGCATGTGGCTTTTCAAAGAGTGCAAATGAAAAGCTATAGCTATGAATTGTTGTAACATTTCCTACAAACTGAAAAAAGGGTTAAGTTGATGGTTTTAAGAATTTCCATTTTTTAATACTGTTGAGGGACTACTTGCCACTTAACTGTCTCAAGGGCTTTTACTGGCAAGTGCATATTGACTGGCAAAATAATGAAGGGGTGGTTTTAAGATCTAATCTAGCTTTAAATCACCTATTCTGAAAAATTAATGGCCTGCATATTCCTGCACAGTAAGTTATACTGTGACAAAGTATCAATTTACTGTTTAATAATATATACATATATACACACACACATATATACACACATATATATACTTTTAAAATCAGCTACTTTTTGTTCATAACTCCTCTTCCACCCTTCAGTTCTTGCCAGTGTTTCCTTGCAATATCAATTCAAATCATATCTACGTTTGTATTATTCTTGAAGCCTTGATTACTGGAACTTTGTCCTTTTCAAGTCCAACCAAATCTTCAGTACCCCACTACAACCAAAACAATCTTCCTGCTTCATTCCTGATGGTCATGCCCGCTGTTCAGGTTTCCTTCCAAATTCATTATAAAATAGAGCTGTAAATAAATTTTGCCTGAACTACTTACAAGCGTAATTCTTCAGCACACAATTTTTGCATAAAGGAGAAGCAAGGGCAGAATTGGGCACCATGATCATCTCTTTTTGTCACTATAGCAGAACTTCATTCGGGCGGTGCCGGGAGGTGATTTTCCAGCAGTCTCACCGTCAGCACTCAGGTCACCTCAGAAGCAGACACAGAAGGTATTTTCTTCAGCGCAAAAAGGGAGAGCTGTTGGAAGAGAAGGGAGGTTAAATTTCATCCATTTTGTGAGAAATAGAGTAGGAATGCACCACTCGGGAAAGTGCTCACTTCATCACCAGGTCGAAAGTTGGAGAGTCCCCCCAGTTCAGATGGGAGCGTAGAGCTGGCTGCCATTTTCATTAGTTGCATTAATTGGTTTCCCAAGGCTGTGCCTGAACCTGGAGTGCCTCAGCGCCTGGACACTGCGGTGGCTGGGGGGGCACAACAAGAAGCACTGAGGGCAGCCTGGCCCCGCTATGCTCTATCACACCGAACCCCTCCAAGCCCACCTCCGGCATTAGCAGCTCTTGTTGGCTATCCTGCTGCTCCCAGTGACCCCATGAAGAGAGAAATGCCATCTTCTCCTTTGTTTTTAAACATCTGGCTTTTAAACAACTGGGAAATCTAGTTGAAGTTAAAAGATAATATAGCAAAGATTTCATTCTGTGTGACCGAGGGCCTACAACGCAGTCAATGAAGTCATCTGCCTTCAGTCCCAATGTTGCTTGGATTTAGCAGTGAGGAAATCTAGCAAAATAATAAACCAATGCCTCCTGCAGCAAAATAGGCAGCTCCAGCAGCATATGTAGTTTTTCTCACCTCCAGGCTGTGTAGCCCACATCTTCACAGAGACCAGATGGTAGGAGTCAGCTCTGTGGGGCTGCAACGGTACACACATGAAAAACATGTAGTGCTATGATCAGGAGGAAAAGATGCCCTAATACGTAACAAAATAAACTGGAGGGTTGCTTTACTAAACAACCAAAAATGCCTGAATCTGTCTGGGCATTCTGGACCAAGCTGCTCTGTCAAAAGTACGTTATCTTCAGCTATGAACACAGCTACGTGCTCGGTAGTTATTATGAAAATCTAGACCCTTTTCCCAAATTTTTCTTTTACCATGGAATAAAGGAATCATAAGCTTCTTTCACCACCACTGTCCTTACCTTTAATTATTTATTATGTAAATAATTAGATAACTTCATAATCTTCCTGGCTCTACAGCGATATTTTTTCTCTGCCCTTCTAGGATATGCCCCTCTAGTAGGCGATGCTTTATGTGGAGTAAATATTTACCACTGCTGGCAATCATTCACCCAGCCATCAGAGAAAACCAAGCAGCACTGAGTGAAGGTCAGGGATCAGCTCCAGCCCAGACAGGCATGGCTGGGGTCTCACGGGGATGGTTTTGTAATGGGCCAGTGGGAATCTGCAGGCTGGTTCCCAAGAGTGCATGTTCCCAAGGGACATGGTGGGCAGCACAGTGCCAAGGGCACCCCTCCACCCTGCAGCGGGCAGCTGTGGGGCAGGGTGGGGGGTCCCCTCAGGGATGGGGTGCCTTTCCTTTTTCCATTTAATCTGAATATATTTTTTCTAGCCTGTTTACCTCTCAGCTAAAACCATTAGGAAAAAAGCAATGTCCGCAGACTGAATACCTGTTGTAAATCCAATTGTTTTATAATTCATGGGTGTTGTCCTTCAGCAGCGTCTTATGCTCACTTTCCTCCATGTCCAAGTGCCCTAATTCTACTTAATCTCTCTTCAGGCACCACAGCCATAATACCTAATTAGCATCACCAAAACAAGGTAGTCATTCAACCCATAAAACAGGATAGGGATGGGAGGTACTTGGTGTAACCTGCAACAACCACTCCAGCAGTATTTCCAGATCAAGCTTCAATTTCCTCACGGGTACTGAGAAGCGGCCATTATCTGAATTTAAAAGAAAGCAATTTTTCTGACCAGCTCTTGTCAGTAGCCTTTGGTTGAACTTAGGTTACATTAGAGACTCATCTGGGGCTGGCACAGCTGAAATAAGCTGGCTCTGTGCAATTGACGTGCTGTTGAGTCTGCTTCAAAAGCCTTGTGAGAATACTAGGACATCAGCGTGGCCCGCAAAGGTGTGACTACCCCTTTCTCATTCCAGCGAGAGACACCTTATGTGACTCCATTGGCCCGAGATGACCTAAAACCTTAGAAATGAAAGGATGGTAAAGAGCCATCTTCCTTCTGTGCACGCTCTGCCTATGATTGCCATACAGATAGTTGTAAAGGTGTGTGTGAGCTCACTAACTCCAGTTTTCGACACTTAGGTTGTGCAGAGGCCTCTGTATTGTCCTGGAGTTGCACTGGATGAAATCCCGTCTCTATTAAAGGAAATGGCAGAATCCCTGGTGGCTGGGATTTTACCCCAGAGCTCTCTAGAGGCCTCAGGCTCACTTGGATCATGCCCACACAATATCCAGGGTCTTCAGACAATTAAGGTCTACAGACTCACTGCTGCAACTTTTCCTCTTTTACCTCATTTGCATTTTCAAACCGTAAAAAAAGGAAAGCATCAGATAAAGAATTGTGTCATCCTTGACCTCCATATTAATTTTGGTTTTGTCCGTAAGTCCTTTTCCAAGGCTGCAAGCTGCCCATCTTTGTGCATGATGTTCAAGGGTGGTAACAAAGTGCTAGGAATTGCCCAGCTAGCACTGACACTATTCCCGCAGGAATGGGAGCTTGGTGCAGCATGTGAACATTATTTCCTAGAGTTGCTAATATTTCTTTTTGAACCACCCCTCC